TGTCACTAATATATTTTGGTGCGAGGCCATGGAGAGACTTGTACACAAGCAGAGCTGTTTTAAAGTCTATTCTCTGAGCCACAGGAAGCCAGTGCAGAGACCTGAGGACCGGACTAATATGGTCGTACTTCCTGGTTCTAGTCAGGACTCGAGCTGCTGCATTTTGAATGTACTGCAGCTGTTTTACAGCCTGTTTGGACAGACCTGTGAGCAGGCCATTGCAGTAGTCTAACCTACTGGAGACAAATGCATGGATAAGAATCTCCAAGTCTGCTTTAGACACTATGTTTTTGATCCTGGTAATGTTTTTTAGATGGTAAAAAGCTGCTGATGTTACTGATTTGATGTGGCTATTAAAATTTAAGTCTGAGTCCAGTATTACCCCTAGATTTCTGACCTTGTTTGAAGGTTTAAGGGAGAGAGACTGTAGATGACAGATGACGCTCTCTCTTTGTTTCTGGGGACCAAAGACAATCATTTCAGTTTTGTCTGCGTTTAGCTGAAGGAAGTTGTTTTGCATCCACTCACTGATCTGTTGGATACAGTGAAGGAGTGAGTCCACTGGTCCATGTTCTCCTGCAGTCAGTGAGACATAGATCTGAGTGTCGTCTGCATAGTTGTGATAGGACACTTTGTTTCTGCGTATTAACTGACCTAACGGCAGCATGTAGAGATTGAACAGAAGAGGTCCCAGGATCGACCCCTGTGGTACTCCACAGGTCAGGGCCATATGATCTGAGACACAGTTTCCAATCTCCACAAAGTACTTCCTGTCCTCAAGGTAAGACCTAAACCAACTTAGAGCGATGCCAGCGACGCCAACCCAGTCCTCTAGTCTCTGAAAGAAGATCTCATGGTCGACAGTGTCGAAGGCAGCACTCAGATCTAACAGGATTAGGATTGAGACTTTGCCTGCGTCAGTGTTCAGTCGGATATCGTTTGTAACCTTGACGAGAGCAGTCTCAGTGCTGTGGTGGGGTCTAAAGCCGGACTGAAACGTATCAAATGAGTTGTTGATTATAAGAAATCTAGTAAGCTGTAGGTAGACAACTTTCTCAAGGACTTTCCCCATAAATGGCAGATTTGAGATGGGACGATAGTTGTTAAGTACCGTAGCATCCAGACGGCTCTTTTTTAGCAGGGGCCTAATGACTGCAGTTTTCAGGGCCTTTGGGAATATTCCAGAATTAAGGGACATGTTTACTATCTGTGTGAGTGAAGGTAACAGACTGCTCAGAACAGACTTCAGAAATCTAGTGGGTAGTACATCCAAGCTGCATGTGGAGGAGCTCAAACTGGAGATTATCTCTTGGACAGTTTGAACATTTACAGGTGCAAAGTGAGTTAGCTCAAAGAGCCTTTCTGGTTGTTGGATGGTTATCTGTGGATTGGAGACAATAGCGTTTTTAATGCCTTGAACCTTGTCATTGAAAAAATGTGCAAACTCATTGCATTTACGTTTGGAAGTAAGCTCTAATGGCATCTGAACAGGGGGGTTTGTTAATCTATTAACTGTTGAGAACAGAACACGCAGATTGTTACTGAAGCCTTCAATCATTTCAGAAAAATACCTTTCTCTCGTACTACGTAGCACCCGGTTAAACTCACACAACTTATCTTTGAAGATCTCGTAATCAACCTGGAGGTTGGACTTGCGCCACCTCAAAACAAACAGATTTTTCACAAGCACATGTCCCATAGAGCTGAACCAGGTCTATTGAAAACAGTATTTATTTTACTTTGCTGCTTCGCTTAAGCACCTGGATTGATAAATGAGACCCTTAAATGCTTGTGTCTTTATGGAGCAATTACTTTTTTAATTGTTTGAGTTTTCTACTCTGCCATTATCAAGTTAACACACAGTATTTTTTTTTGTCAGAATAGCAGTCGCCTCAGAGTACTTTACGAAGTTGTCGATTCACCCATCATCACCTATCACCATCAAGCTGCCCCCTGACATGCGTGTCCCTACTGATGAATCAAGGCGCAAAACGTATTAATTCAGATTGGCTTTTAACACTTTTAACACTCATTAGCATGGTGATAGCCTGGCCTTAGCCATCCGTAGACTCCGTTCAATCATCATTTCACTGCATGTAACGTGTGGGTCTGGTCCCTATGTTAGCGATTACAATCGGTTGAATTTCGACCGACCATTCAGAGAGCGCTGAAGACAGGTGTTGTAGTTAGTTGTGGGTGATGTCAAGAGTTTGCGATGAACAGGCAGGTTGTAGTTTGGTAATGGCGAAAGACGCAATAGTAAAGTAATCCAGTCTGGTTCTATCAAGAAATTTAAGCCGGAGCAAGAGTAATGTTTAGCAAATGTAATTGCTGGAAAAAATTGTGGCGCTACTCCCAACGGGCTCTGTTAGCGGCAAAGGAGAGGGCTAGGCTAAATGCTAAATGCTAACAACAGACTCGGGCGCACTACACACGTCACGGTAAACTCAGATCCAATCGTTTCAAATCTGCAAAAGGGGTTAACCCCTCCCACCTGTTCACGGAGCTCAATGGAGCACCTCCAGACCTTAGTACGAAATGTCATTTGTACTATGGTGTGGTACGATCAGGCTAGCCTGATGACACTTTTTAAGGCTTTTTTAACGCTTTTAACTGTTATATTGTTTGAATGCATACATGTTTTAATGGACTTTATGGGATTTTATTGTAATGCACTTTGGTCACCTTGAGTGTTGTAAATGATCATCGAGCCAATGATCATCGAGCCATGAAGCAGACAGTGGTACAACAGCAGATAGTGGGTGAATAGTTATCCAATATTGTGTACTGTACAAAATTATCAAATCAATCTTTTCAAGTTTTTGATGTAAGAACAAGGTTGTAACAATGTGGTGATGTCCGAGCTGCAGGAATAAAAGAAGCACTCAAAACAGTGAACATTGTCTGTATTTATTTAGAGAATATGTCACATGGTGAAGTGAAAGAGGACTCAAAACAAAACATGCACAAATAATAATGATTTAATTATGAAAAATAAAAGTCCAAGGTAAAAACAAACTCAAAATTTAAAATGAAACCGGGGATCAGGAACATGGACATGGACAAACAAAGACCATAGACCAGCATCAAGGGGAAAGGAGTACAGGTACACATATAGGCACAGAGAGACACAGGTACATATAGACACAGAGAGACACAGGTACATATAGACACAGAGAGACACAGGTACATATAGACACAGAGAGACACAGGTACAGAGACACAGAGAGACACAGGTACATATAGACACAGAGAGACACAGGTACATATAGACACAGAGAGACACAGGTACATAAAGACACAGAGAGACACAGGTACATATAGACACAGAGAGACACAGGTACATATAGACACAGAGAGACATAGGTACATATAGACACAGAGAGACACAGGTACATATAGACACAGAGAGACATAGGTACATATATACACAGAGAGACACAGGTACATATAGACACAGAAAGACACAGGTACATGTGTCTCAGGTACATGTGTCTCTACACAGGTACATTCGAGAGACTGGAATTCTTGCCCATTCTTCCTTTCAAAACAGCTCGAGCTCTGTGAGGTTGGATGGAGAGCGTTTGTGAACAGCAGTCTTCAGCTCTTTCCACAGATTCTCGATTGGATTCAGGTCTGGACTTTGACTTGGCCATTCTAACACCTGGATACGTCTATTTGTGAACCATTCCTTTATGTTTTGGATCATTGTCCTGTTGGAAGATAAATCTCCGTCCCAGTCTCAGGTCTTTTGCAAACTCCAACAGGTTTTCTTCCAGAATGGTCCTGTAATTGGCTCCATCCATCTTCCCATCAATTTTAGCCATCTTCCCTGTCCCTGCTGAAGAAAAGCAGGCCCAAACCATGATGCTGCCACCACCATGTTTGACAGTGGGGATGGTGTGTTCAGGGTGATGAGCTGTGTTGCTTTTACGCCAAACATATCGTTTTGCATTGTGGCCAAAAAGTTTGATTTTGGTTTCATCTGACCAGAGCACCTTCTTCCACATGTTTGGTGTGCCTCCCAGGAGGCTTGTGGCAAACTTTAAACGAGACTTTTTATGGATATCTTTGAGAAATGGCTTTCTTCTTGCCACTCTTCCATAAAGGCCAGATTTGTGCAGTGCACGACTGATTGTTGTCCTATGGACAGACTATCCCACCTCAGCTGTAGTTATCTGCAGTTCATCCAGAGTGATCATGGGCCTCTTGGCTGCATCTCTGATCAGTCTTCTCCTTGTTTGAGATGAAAGTTTGGAGGGACGGCCGGGTCTTGGTAGATTTGCAGTGGTCTGATACTCCTTCCATTTCAATATAATTGCTTGCACAGTGCTCCTTGAGATGTTTAAAGCTTGGGAAATCTTTTTGTATCCAAATCCGGCTTTAAACTTCTCCACAACAGTATCTCGGACCTGCCTGGTGTGTTCCTTTGTCTTCATAGTTCTCTCTGCGCTTTAAACAGAACCCTGAGACTATCAAAGAGCAGGTGCATTTATACGGAGACTTGATTACACACAGGTGCATTCTATTTATCATCATCAGTCATTTAGGACAACATTGGATCATTCAAAGATCCTCACTGAACTTCTGGAGTGAGTTTGCTGCACTGAAAGTAAAGGGGCCGAATAATATTGCACGTCCCACTTTTCAGTTTTTTATTTGTTAAAAAAGTTTAAATTATCCAATACATTTTGTTCCACTTCACGATTGTGTCCCACTTGTTGTTGATTCATGACAAAAAATGTAAATTTTATATCTTTATGTTTGAAGCCTGAAATGTTGAAAGGTTCAACGGGGCCGATTACTTTCGCAAGGCACTGTAGATAGAGACACATTAGGGCGGGGCAGACAATGAACACAGGGGAACACAACAGGAAGTCAAACTAAAACAAAACCACAGAACTGAAATCCAAATAAAACCAAGTTCAAAAATAAAATCCACACCATGACAGAACAACTCAAATCAGCCTCAGCTTACAGTCTCGGGTCTTGTGTTCCAGGCAGAGCATCTCTGGTCGGGGTCAGCTCCCTCAGGCTGGAGCCCCTGCAGCTGGAGGACCAGGGTCTGTACGAGTGCCGGATCCTTTCATTGGACAAAAGCACCAACGAACTGCAGAACGGAACCTGGACTCTGCTCTCCGTCACCGGTCAGTCTGATTTTCATATGTACTTTTCACTTCTGTTTAGTCCAACTTCATTAACTTTCGAACTGCTCACATCATGTTCAGGGCTGCATTCAATTTTCAAAACTTATTCCATGATAGAGATTTTCACCTTAATTACAGAGTGCCTGAACTTTGAAAAACTTTAAACTCGATGTGGACACTGGTGCCTCGCTATCACATGGTGCACATTTCATGGCCCTCGCTGTTTGGCTGTTTTTGCATGGCTTTTGACAGCTGCAGCAGCGCTCAAACCTACAGCGAACTGGTTTGTCATCTCAGCGATCACACTTCATCAAAAGGTCTAGAGCAGGGGTGCCCAAACCTTTTGCTTCCAAGGGCCAAAGTAAAAATTTGCCAGTCGGCCGCGGGCCAAATACACCAATATTTCGCATGAAACAAAAATAAATGTAGATTTGATCAAGTTCAATTAAATGCATTAATTATTGTCTATCAGTGCAAATCACAGCTGAATGAATGAAATCAACACAGTCTTAGTGAAGTGGAGACTCCAGGGAAATATGCAGGTTTGAGGAGACTACAGTACGGAAAGATTCCGGCCGGGTAATCAGGGTCCAGAGGAGGGACATTTTCTGTCATGGCTTATTTACAGCTTAAAATCATATAAAAAACCTCTAAAAGAGAACAGAAACATACATTTTCTATGTAACTAAACTGTTTTTTAAATGCCACTTGTAAACAAATAATGTTCCTGCTAGTAAATGAAAGTACTAATTTATATTAAATAATATCATACTCCCAAATTAAATAATCTATATTTTTAACCTGCTCATGTCAGTAAACTGTTTGTTGAAGACCTTTTTCTAAACAGTTTTGCATTACTATATAGTGATTTATAATGTATAGGTTTATTGTACTAGCAAATGACATTTACTTTACAAAAGTAAAGTCTATTTTCATATATTTATTTTGAACAAAAGTTTTTAACTACATTTGAATCATATTACTTTATCTTAGCTTTTATCAAAAAGGGGAGACATCACTGATCAGTAGATCTGGTTTTAGCACACTTTTAAACAATACATTTTAACATTAAGTAATGAATTTGGGCACATAATTGCTAACTGCATTTTCTAAACATGATCAAGTTTTAACTCTGTTTTAACTTAATATTTTTAACATAGGACAAGTATTCTCAATTAGTTGTGAACTGAATATTAAACTAACGAAATCAGACTAGTTAACCCTGATTTGTTCCTGGAGTTTGTTTTGTTTTGCCTAAACACAGTACAACATTTATAAACAATCAAAACAAAGTAACTGTTAAAGAGTCCGTGTTTCCGCTCCTCCAAAGGGCTCTTGAACGCATCATAAAACTCCGCGTAAGTTCTGACATTCAATGATCGCGAGTGAGGACGGCGCTTACCGGCTTCTTTCATGGGGTTGTAGAAGGGTTTGTTTTGCGCGGTATTTGTTGCTTCTACTTACGTGGATCGTGCGCTGCGATCCCTGCTTGTCCTGCTTGAACTCACTCTGAAGTGTGTGTGTCCGTCTTTTTAACACACCGGGTGGGTGCGGATTGCGCGGGTGAATAGTTCCACTCGCCAATTCCCTCCGGTGAGGAGGGGGAGTGGCAGTTCGCCAGCACAATCCTCTCAATTTGATAAAACATTGAATTGCTCAAAAAAATTATAATAGTAGGCTGAAAAAAAAGAACATAAAGGTGCCTTGCACCCAATTGTTTTGAAAGATGTGTTTGATTTTAAAAAACATTTTAGTGCAAGTAGATGTGAACCATGAGTGAGGAGTGTATCTCGATACAACAGTAAAGTACTGGACAGTCTGAATTCAGAGGGTGTTGGTGCGCCCGTGCGATTTCAGACATGTCACTGTTTGTTCAGTGAGGTTGAGGGACGCAGTTAGAAGCTTACAACGGAGGTGGGCAATGTTAGGCGGGCCAACTGAAATGGTCCGGCGGGCCAACTTTGGCCCGCGGGCCCCACTTTGGGCACCCCTGGTCTAGAGGAATGAGAGAACTAGTGATAGAACCAATTTGTTTTAAAGTGAGGTACCCCAGCTTTAATAATCATGGCAAATTCAGTTCAATGTAATTTTTTTTTGTATAGCCCTAAATCACAACATCAGTAGTCTCAGAAAACTTTACAAAGTTGTCGATTCCTCAACAACAGATCAGAGAATCAAACCGTCTGAAATCCAACAATAACAAACACATAGTAACCATTGGTCCATAGGGAGCGGGATGACCAATGTTTAGAAATGTCAGTGTCCATAAATGTCCCGGATCATTACCATCCTGAGACTCTCCCAAGAAACTAAAAAGTGAGAAACCTCGGGGGAGGTCCATGGACAGACAAGAGTGTAAAATGTAGAAAATTCATTCTGTCTTCTTATGTTTATGGCTTTTAGGTTCTTCTAATAAGACAATTAAAGCAAAACAAAGCTAATACTGCTTAAATACCTGACATGTTTCGGCGGTACACTTCCGCCTTCATCAGAGGTGACACGTGATGGTGTGACGCGTCTCTTATCAGCTGTTGTTGCCGGAAGCAGTCAGTCTGACAGATCTCACAGATCCATCAGACTGACCACGTCCCCCGCCGCGCTGTGGTCTCTGGAGAAGTGAATCCCAAGTGTGAGCCAAGGTGAAGGCCCCCTCGTCTCTGTTGATGGTCCGTGTTCCCCGCTTCCTGATTTCGATCGCCTCTCGTATCCATCTTTTGTATTTATGTTCTTCTGTTCCTACTATTTTTGCATTGTCCCAGTCCATGATGTGTGCAAAAGAGAGAATCACATCATGGACTGCTTCCGGCAACAACAGCTGATAAGAGACGCGTCACACCATCACGTGTCACCTCTGATGAAGGCGGAAGTGTACCGCCGAAACATGTCAGGTATTTAAGCAGTACTAGCTTTGTTTTGCTTTAATTGTCTTATTAGAAGAACCTAAAAGCCACAGACAAGAGTGTAGATCCAGGACTCAGACTGTAGAACGAGGACTGAGGCTGTACGGTGCAGGCTTCCATGCGTGGAGGGGGGTGGAGGACTGAGGAGGCTCCCAGGTGTGGAGGAACTAGTCCACAGGTGCGGATATAAGTAAGATCCCGGATTCAAGGGTCCCATCATCACGCCATGAAACAGAGAATGAATTATAATGACCTTGTTTTATTGAATTTCACAACAACACAAATGATTTCAGGGGCGACAGTAGCTCAGTTGGTAGAGCATTGGCCTTTGGGCCTGGAGGTTGTGAGTTCGATTCCCACCATGGGACCTACTCCAACTGCTCCCACTGATGACTGCTGTCGTTGTGTCCTTGGGCAAGACACTTAACCCCACGTTGCCTGAAGCTCCCCGCTGAAAGATCAAGGCAGTTTCTCAACTGATGGAGCAGCCATCTTCCTGTGGACTCACCCCCTGCAGAAGATCAGCGAGGGACTGGTGCTATGAGCATTGGGTGGCAGCTCTCATTGCCACCCCCCCGACCCAGAAATGGACTAATAAAGGGGTTGAAAATGAAATGAAAAAAAAACAAACGATTTCACCTTCTAAACTTTACCCGAGATAAAAAACAATGGGACAATAAAACTCATTTTGAGGTTTGGCAAATGCGTTTCTCTTTTTAGTGTGAATAGTTTTTATACAATGCAACCGTGCAGGTGGTTCAATGAAAAACCACATAAAAGACGCCGCTGCTTGTGCGAGAAGAGCAGAAGCAAAATATCAAAACAAAAGTTGAGTTCTGAAGCTCTCGTCCCTTTGATGTCACGCACACACGCCGCTCTTCAAAACGTACAAACAAAATCAATTATTTTTTAAGTTGTATTGTGAACTTTTAACAAGATTTCGTACATCGCCATCCGTTTCCGAACACTTTTACCTCCAATTGAAAGTTACCAGCTGCTTTGAAGTTTTAAATCTCGCCGGAAAAAAGCTTGTCAATGATTTGGTTTGGGGGTAAAAAGGAGTGTTTACGTGGGGGCGCAGATCAAAGGCGCTCACCGGGTGCCTGTGCCAGCGATAGTTATCACAGATAAAGTTGTGGTTTCAATAGTTGCCTCTTGCGTTTTTCACCCTTTAATCAAATGTGGGCTGCAAACTCTTCCTATTAAGAATAACAAATCAAATCAAACCACATTTTTTGTGTGGAGCGCCTTTCCTATACGAGGCAACACAAAGCATCTCACAACCCATATCCCACCAGGCATAAATCATAAACATCAAAATCAACATTAAACATTGAAAAATCCAATTTCAATTTTCAAGTGTTGTGAGACAATATTGTGTTGTTTGTCCCAAAGAGTTTTGTTAAAAAGCCAAAGATTAGGTCCCATGGCGAGCCCACCATGGGACCTACTCCAACTGCTCCCACAAATGCCTACTGTCGTTCTGTCCTTGGGCAAGACACTTAACCCCACATTGCCTGAAGCCCCCACTGAAAGAACAAGGCTGTGGCACCACTGATGTAGCGGCCATCTTCCTGCGGACCCACCACCTGCAGAGGATCAGCGAGGGACTGGTGCTAGGAGCATTGGGAGGCAGCTCTCATTGCCACCTCTCCCCGACCCAGAAATTGACTAATAAAGGGGTTGAAAATGAATGAATGAATGAGTTTTGTTGAAGTAAAAACAAGATACAATAAAGATAAGATAAAACTTCGCTCAGTGGGGAAAGTTTAATGTCATTGTTGCACATTTTACAGCACAATAAAAGGAAATAAGGCCACACAGGCGGCACACATCAAACAAGATCTATTATTTAAGATTATAAAATCACAAGATAATAAAATGATAAAATAAAACTCTGAATAACCCCTCTTACGTCTGCTGTTGTTGTGGCCCTGGGCAAGTCACTTTGCCTGAAGCCTGCGGACCCTACCCCTGACCCAGAAATGGACTATTCACAGGAATGAAAATGAATGAATATTGATTAACCTGAAATGGAAAACATCCCTATTTTAAATCTTTTGGAAAATATGTTTATTCATCAAGGATTTGCAGCTGTTTGTCCTTTTGGAGTGAGTGACGTGATCCAGTGGGGCATAGCTGTTTTGTCAACTTGGAAATAACCAAGTCTCTCTGAGGTTAAGATAAAGATAGATTTTCTCTTATGAAAATGCACTATTGATTGGCAATTCAACACACTCCTGCAGAAAATATGTATCACGGACATCTCAACAGAAAGCCATTTTCCAAGAAGTAACATATTTATTATGAACAGACTCAATAACCTTGTTTATCTCCTGAGAGCGTCCCATTGGCAGCATACTCCCAATGGCAGTTTATATTGCTTTGTGGAAAAAAGCACTTTTAATATCTTCACCTCGGAGCTCCAAAGTGGCCGTTATATGGGTCTGCATTTGGTACTAAGGCACCTGAACTATGGCTGCTAAAAGATTATATTTAGACATGTTTTGACTTTAGATTGTCTTGACTTAGACTGAAATAGACTGAAATATACTGTAGGTATGGACCATGCTAACCTGTTAGCTCTATGAAGCCTAGGAAAGTGCTCATGGTGCCCATTTGTGGCTTAATAATAGCAAGGCAAGTTTTTTTTGTATCGCACAATTCACACACAAGAAAACTCAAAGTGCTAAGTACGGAGACAGAAACAACCACACAAGGCATTGAAATTGTACATTAAAAAGAGTAAAGATAAATCCCTCAGTTGTATGCACAGCTAAACAGAACTGTTTTTAACCTGCATTTAAACATTGTCAGAGGAGAAGCCTGTCTCACATTTTCAGGAAGATTTTAGCCACATAACACATAATCCGAAATGCTGCCTCCGCATGTTTAGTTCTGACTCTGCCACCAGCAGGAGTCCCGTCCCTGTGCTCCTCAGTCCGAGTTGGTTCATATGGAACTAACATGTCTCAAATATACTTTGGTGCGAGGCCATGGAGAGACTTTTACACAAGCAGAGCTGTTTTAAAGTCTATTCTCTGAGCCACAGAAGCCAGTGCAGAGACCTGAGAACTGGACTAATGTGATCATACTTCCTGGCTCATGTCAGGACTTGAGCTGCAGCTATTAATAAGAAAAAGAGCTTAATAATCCCTTAAGCTCTGAATTTTCAGATTTATTTTCTTATGCAAAAAAAACATAGGTTTGCTCTGTAGACTGTATATAAATGGACAATACTAACCTTCTAACATGGTGCAATATTTTGCTCCCCCTCGCTCCTATTGACCTGTCGAAAAGTGAACTCAAATCAAATCTACAGTTTGTCTACAGTTTTTTTCACAATCACAATTTTGGGTTTAGTAATCTGTGGTCCATAATGAGATTTAGCTCATAATGAGATTTAGCTCATTTTTGAATCCAGATATGACCCCAATAACTGTCCAAACCTTCAGCCTCTCAATTTGGTTTTGGATTGCGAGTAGCGCAAGCAGAGACAGAGCTTTGGTTGCTAGGTACAGTTTTTTTTGCAAGCCTTAATTATAGATTTATATTTTAGTTTTGGGTTCTGACATTGCGCTCATGGGAATATTTTAGTTGTACTGAATGGGAAACCACAAGAATGATTGTATTTTGGTTTCACTGCAATAATTGATGAGTTACTTTTTTGTCTGGTGTGTTCCAGCTCCTCCCACTCTCACCAAAGCTCCGCCTCCTGTCGTAGAGGTGCTTGTCGGAACGCCACTGTCACTCACTTGCGTCGCCACCGGCAACCCTGCTCCACTCATCACATGGCTCAAAGACGGAAAAGTGATTCAGACGGTAAACATTCTCTAACTTCCAAGCGACAATTTTGTAACAAAATATTTGTAACTACTTTCTCGCTCTCAAAACAGTTTGGCCTCCTTTTGCTGCATGTTTGGCCTCTGTCACATCTTTGGATCAGCTTTTTCAGAAAAAAAAGTGAAAAAGAACGGGCAATCAGACCAATCGGTTTCAATTAGGGACTACAAATCTGCAAAAATGTTGACGAGATGGTGCACTCAGTATGTAAACTACTAATTCATCAATCACACAGTCAATATTACGCCCCATCATCACATAAACAAGAGATTATTTGAGATTTTGAGATGGTCACTCAATTTATGACATCCTGGGGGACATCACTTCTGCTCCCCCTGTCTCCCTGTAGAAACGGACATGCGTGTTTTGGACTTTGGAAAAGTCTATGTAAGTATTTCCCCAAGAGCACTCTCTGTTCTGAAGTACGGCAGGTTTGTTATCTCCACAAATCTCTCACAATTTTCCCATAATGCACTGGAGGGGGCTGGAGGCAACGGTACCAAACTAAAACTAAAACTTGTTTAATATGTGTCTATTAATATAAAGTGACATATAGAATTACAATTAATCATTATTTTAGTGTGGATAGTACTGGATGCAGATGAGGTGTTATTATGGCTTAATTAGTGAAGATATGTAAAGATAATATAATGCAAGATGGATAAGATACAAGACACTTATAGCTGTTGGTTTAGCCATTAGCTTATAGCCGTTAGCATTGAGAAACAAATATAAGGAGTACTCTTTTGGGGGTGACATAATATTACAGGTACTGTACATGTCCACTCTAAGTGTGCAAACACAAGGCAGCAGCTAACCACTCTGCCATTTTAAGACTTTTGTGAAAAATTCTGTCGCTGTCACCGGGACAAAGGTCAGTGCTTCAGTTAGAATAAAAAAATATCCCACTTATGTTGACAGTAGCTGAATAAACAACATTTATATTTAGTGCAATATGTGTCTAGTCTGTTACTTTTAAATACGTAACTGCAAACAGCAATTGCAATACAATTTGTAAAAAGCAATTATTCAGTCTGATCCCATATGCTCCATACATTACTTGGCGGCGGCCCTCTTCAAACTAATTAACGCCCGTTCAGTCACAGTTCTAATTACATCTCTCAGCCTCACAAATTAAACCCACAAAGGAACAGCCGTAATGAAGAGGAAGAGGCGACGCGAAGGCCAGATGATTCAGAAATAGCATCATTCAGTTTTAGCGTTCTCCCCTGTTCACAGTGCGATCATTGTGTGTGTGTGTGTGTGTGTGTGTGTGTGTGTGTGCGTGTGTGCGTGTGTGTATAGAAGCTCCAATCACATCAGGACGCACACAGCTCCTATCTTGTACCTATACTTTCATTGAACAGAATGTATGTATTTATTTCAAGCTTATAAATATGATTCACATAATGTTAATGTTACTGCTTTTACAGTACGGTATTTACATATTGTACCTGATACAAGAATACCTACATATATGAACAAACATTCATGCATTTTAGGGATTTCTTTGTTGACACTTTGGGCTGAGAGGTGATTGGCTGGCTGAAGGTGGGCCTCTCTCTTTCACTCTTCCGTCTGAAAAAGCTGATCTGAAGATGTGACAGATGCTTAAAGGATACATGCATGTGAAACGTAGTGATGAGTTATGAAAGTATCTGGTTTGAAAGTTATGTACCCAAACTTTAAGTGGTAAAGCTCACAAACTTTTTAAAAATAAAGATCTAAAAAGGAATCAGAAACTCTTCTAATATCCCCCTGCCCCTTCTGTCTAAATGCAGCTGTGTCAAACTTGCACAATGATGAATCGTTGGACCCTGTTCCCTACACTCTACTGTTATGAATAGAGTGTTTTCTTGTTTATTTTCCTTAAGCAAATTAGTTTTGGGAATTTCTCAAGTCCAATTCAGTTGATTACATTCTATTTAGATTTTTCCATGTTCAATCTTAGAAGTTTTTCTCATTCTATTTTTTCCATTACATGTTTATCTATATATTAGGGCTGTCAAAATTATCGTGTTAATTCACGTTAATTACCGTTTTCATTAACGCATTAAAAAATAATTAACACATGTCCGAATGACCCGCCCATTCATAATAATATCACTCAGAATGCCACGGACACGTGTGATGTTCTCTGATGATGGAGGAGAGGAGGAGACACGCTGAAATGCAACCAAACTCGCAAAATTAAAGCTGGGGTACCTACATTTTTCCTTTCATTAACAGCTCTTGTTGGTAGAGCCCTGCACTTGAGCTCTTGGCCCGAGGGCCCCGACGGCCCGACAGCCCGAGGGCCGGGCTTCGGGCCGATGACCGCATAATGACCTCGGACACGGGCCGGGCTCGGGCTCTTCATTTTCAGAGCGGCAAAATACATTTACGAACGCACCAACTGAATATAGCGTTCTATCACGCTGTAGTGTTTGTTGTTCTGTGTAGTGTTGTCATTGACGGCACATAGCGTTACTTACAGGTGTGTTGCAGCATCTGGGCATCATACAGATGCGGCCGTTCACTCTGCACCACTCCGCACACACAGAACTCATTGCAACACATCACTACCATGTATAACTCCGCCCTCTAGCTAAGTCTGCGTTGATATCAGTGCGCGGCACTATATACTACGCTAAAACATTGTTATGGGAAGTTACAAAAAAAAAAAAAAAAAAGCCGGGCTTGATGCGGGTTTCGGGCCTGAAAATTGAGAAACCATATCGGGCCGGGCCGGGCTGGGGCGCCACCCCCTCGGGCCAGGGCCGGGCTTGGGCCCAGATAATAGGCCCGTGCAGGGCTCTACTTGTTGGTTGTACCCAAAAGTAGAAGGTTGTGAGCAAGTCAAACAGATTGAAGTACATTTGGTATGAATAATAATGTGTCATTACATTTGAAAATCTCATTTAACTTCAATTGGAGTGGATTTGAAATAGAATGTTAAAAATGCGATTAATCGTGAGTTAACTCATCATTACTATGCGATTAATCAACTATAAAAAATGTATCGTTTGGCAGCCCTACTATATATTCATTACATACCAACATGATTCATTTCATCAATTAATTTAAAAGTTAAGGACAGATTAGCGTGGCCTTAGCTATTCGTACACTCTGGTTCTATCAAGAAATTGAAGCAGGAGCAAGAGGAATGTTTAGCAAAAGTCATTGCTGGCAAAGATTGTGGCGCTACGCCCCACGGGCTCCGTCAGCGGCTAACGTGGTGGCTAGGCTAAATGCTAACAACTCACTTGGGCGCATTACAAACGTCACAGTAAATCCAATTGTTTTCAATTTGCAAAAGGAGTTAACCCCTCCCACCTGTTAACAAAGCTTAAATGAAGCACCTCCAGACCTTGGTACGAAATGTAATTTGTACTATGGTGTGGTACGACTGGGCTAAGGACAGCTGAGTGCTGCAGTGGGTCTAACTATATCAGGATCGTAGTGGCAAAACACGGGAGACTTCTGAAGAGAGGAGAAAGAAAAAATTAAATCCGAGGCACTTTTTGCAAATAAAATAAAAATCCTTTAATGAACAGGGATTTAGGGAACAGGGACAGTATTTACAAACGGTCCAGTTATTTTCTTTCTAATTGTGACCTCCGTCTTGTGGTGTTTGCAGGGTGGAGTACTGTCCGTGCCGGTGGTGATGGCCCAGTCTCAGGGTCAGTACTCCTGCTGCGCCTCCAACTCCCTGGGAAACAGCAGCCACAGCAGCAGGGTCCTGGTCAAAGGTCAGTCCACACCTTCCCAAAAGAACACAGAAAGTGAATTATATTTGCGTTTAGGGACTTGTGCAGTAACAGGTACAGTGCGCGGTACAGTTTTGACACCCCAGATTTATGTGTGTGCGAGCAATGAAAATGTTGGCCCTGGTGGTTCAGCGGTTGGAGCGTGTGCTTCCCGTGTTCGATTCCACCTCCAGGCCTTTCTGTGTGGAGTTTGCATGTTCTACCCGTGTCTGCGTAGGTTTCCTCCAGGTGCTCCAGTTTCCCCTACCACTAAAATCATGTACAATAGGTATGAATGTAATGAGTGAGTGAATGGACGGTGTTGGTTGGATGCTTTTGCTTTTTTAAAATAAGACAAAACATCTAAAGAAGCCATCCATCCATCAATTTTCTTCCCCTTAATCCATTTCTGGGTCGGGGGGGTGGCAGTCAGAGCTGCACCCAGTACACTTAGCACCAGCCCCTCACTGATCCTCCAGCAGGTGGTGAGTCCATGGGAGCTGAGATCTTTCAGTGGGGGCTTCAGGCAAAGTGGGGTTAAGTGTCTTGCCCAAGGACAGCAGTCATCAGTGGGAGTCGTGAAGTAGGTCTTATGGTGGGCTTGAACCCACGACCTTCAGGCCCAAAGGCCAAACTGAGCTACTGTCGCCCTGTAAAGAAGCTAGTGCTGCTAAAAGGAGCTTCTAAGCCTTAAAGTGATTATTATTTTTTTACCCCCTTCCTTTCTGATTGGTCTATGCCTACGTTTCCGTAACACATTTAAATGTTAATCTGAGAACACATTATACTTAGTTGTTAACGTTTTCATGATATAAAATAATGTTTTAATGCACAAACCCGGAAGTAGCTATTAATGTTGATTGATCATTATAGGACACATCTGCAGAGGATCTGATTATGGATATAGGTTCAGTATATAAATGGGTTGCTCAGCGCGGATGTTCAGAATTCTTCGTTCAGTTTTCATGTTGTTCCAGAGCCTAATAGAGGCTTGATTCGAAGGCTCCGCAAAAACAAACAACTGAGCATGCGCGCAGCTGCGAGCATCAGCGCAATGATTGACAGCCCTTGGCATCACTTGGTTGGTTAACGTGGACGGCATCGTGGATTTTGAGCTATAGCTAAGAGAAGGGAAGGCGGGACTTACCCGTAATATTAGAATTCACAAAAAGACTTATTTCATATCAATATTTAAGGCCATGGAGGTCAATAAAATTCTTAAAATGTTAAATTCATTTAGAGTTCCAGACTATCACTTTAACATGAGAAGACAAAATTCACTTTTTACATTTTAATGGTGTCTCATTTCCTACATGCCATTGTATTTAAATTTGGCAAGCTTTGGTAACTGTATGGCGCCGTAAAGATGGCGCTGTGGCAAGAGCTCTGGTGTGTGTCGTCTTCTCTGTCTGGTGCACACTGGGGTAGTCTTGCACAGTTTTTCCTATGTGGTTTTAATGCAAATGGCAAATAAATGAATCCCGAATCTGAATCTGTAGGTTTTACAGTACGTATATAAATTCTATCCATCTCAACTATGTATGTGTGAATTAGTATTTTAACCTGGGCTTAAATGTGTGAAATCTCATGGAGAGGGTGATAGAGTGCAGTTTGACTCACGGCGGCCACATAAACTTTCACATTCCTCGTTTCTGGGTGGATGTGTTTTTTTCTGGGAGCCTCTGTCGTTTAGATCCATTTCTCCTCGTTGCATCATGAGACCACAGTCAAGAGCAAACCTGAAATGTGTCGATGTGTTTCATGTCACATTTAATATAACTCGAGTGACAGCAGCTCCTTCGGGACCTCTGCGCAAAAATATCAACATGTTTTGGAATTATTAAGTCAACAAAATCTGTGAAATGAAAATAAGTGGAGTCAATATACTGTATGCAGTGGACAACCTCATTAGAAGGTAAACAATTTCATAAAAGACATTAATAGAACACAACTGTTATTGGCATTTTTCAAGATTACATTCATTTACAAATCATGATTATTATTTGATATTGTTTAGAAAAAGTTATAATATTATATTGTTAAAAATTTGGTAAGTGCACAATGCAGACACTCAAAGAAATGTCATAACTGCTGCAGCGACCTGCTTGAAAACAGGTTCCTATCATTCCAAGAAGAGGGTCACTTTGAAAACGAACTGAAGAGCATATAAGATTAACAGCTGAGAGAGCCAGAAAAGTCTCATTCATTTTATTAACCTTTTTGACTTGTCTCTGCTTTAAACATGATTAAAGTGCTATTTGGCCTTTATGCACAGAGGAGTTTTGTCATTGATTCCCTCAAGCTTTAGTTATAGCGATCTTTCTCTTATCACTGTTAAAGCCACCCTGTGTAATTTTTACAGCTGCTCCATGTGAAAAAACATGTTAACTAATAACAAATGTGACCTTTTTAAGAATATTTACCTCCACCATGTTTTTTTACTTGTATTCATAGGCTTAGAATTGAACTTATAAGTGTCCATGAGAGAGGAGGACTATCCGTGTAAATGCGCCATCTTGAAAACCGGTGGTGGATAAGGATAAAAAGCGAGAAACGCGTTTTCGTTGCACATAAGCTACTGATATTGATTTCACCGTGCCTTCACAATTTGGAAGAAGGAACCATGGAGGACCACAGTTATATAAAAGAACCACAGAGGACCACAGTTATGGAAAAGAACGATCGGAACAACAATCTTTTAGATAAATAATTATGTAGAAGTCCAGCATCATAGCAGCGAAGTATCAACATCGCAAACCACACGCACAAAGAAAGCGTTAACAACAGGAGGTACATTGTGTATTTTGTACACAACAGACTCACACGTGAACAATACGTAACTTTTTCGAGGCAGAATCTGCAACACAGTCTCAAGATGTTCTGACCCGATCCGAGCGCAGTCCAACTACTGTCACAAGTTTCAACTAAACTTATTCAGGGACAAGCATCAAACAAAACACACAGAATCCCCACAAAACGATCGCCAGAATAATGTATCAGCAGCGTGAGTGAATGTTCTGTTTTTCTTACCTGGTGATGCAGATAGGGCGCTGTGGCTAACACTAATGCTAACATGAGCTTTGCCATGTCCTGCTGCTGCTGTGTATATCTCCTGCTTCTTTGATCACCACAGTTTTAACCTCACACAGACTTTATTCCTCCATGTGTCTCTTCTCTTCACACCGCGTTTGTAAAACTATATTCTAATAGATCCATGGTAAAACTCAGTAGAGCCTCTGTGTAGGGTGCTGCTGTCTGAACCATAGACTGATATATTAATGGACAGAGTCACGTCTATCTCCGCCGTTCTAACTAATGGGCCAAAAAATGTGCTCTACTGGAGCAATCCAAAATGGCCGCAAGTGGTCCCGCATACAAGAAAATTGTGAAAAAACGCATCTGCGCATGCGTCAGCCGGCGCAACTCCATTCATTTGAACGAGAGACTTAAAAAATTCACAGCAAGTAAACTAGAGTGGACCAAAAAAATCCACCCCCCTCAGCATTGACACACATGTGGAACGGAGCTTTGGGCCAAGAGCCAACTTTTGGACCATCCTGTAAAGACGTTTTTGAGAGGTCTGCCAACGCTATATGTTAGCATTGGCTAATTCTACTTCTGGGTCCACCCCCATCGGCCCGGGGTGGTATTGCAAGCATGTCAGCGCACGTCATTTTGGCCACTTTTGAGCTGGGACCCGCCCCCACTGGTCTGAACGCGGTCTTGTTTACATGTTGGCCCCACGCGTCTGTCAAGTGCTCGAGACATTTGGAGAGATCCGGTCATTTATCAAACTAAAGTATTCTTTCCTTGGCAGTCTGGTGAAAGACAGAGTTGAGGAGCACTGTCAAACAGTATAGGCAAAAGTCTCCCTCTACAGGCACCCGTGCTCAAATCTCAATATATGAGACTGCAATATAAGATCTCAACGCTAGAGGCACTAGAAATGACAGTGTACCTTTAACTAAATAATTAGCGTCTGATTCTGGATCGCGGACATAGGGCTCTATGTGACGGTCTGCCATTGTTGGAGAAAAAAACTTTCTGGACATTTTCAAATAAAATCTCAAAACCTACCTTTTTAAACCCAAAATCTGTAAATGTATTCTATTCTGTAGCTTTAATATTGTGTGTGATGTTTTTAATACATCGTAAGGCGTCCTTGGGTGTCTTAAAACGCACCATGAAATAAAATGATTTTTTTTTATTATTTAATACATGACAAAAAACATTCTTACTCTTAATGCCTACTAAGATTTGTCTGAGATCCACATCTGGATCCCAACTTCTTCCTGACCTCTGCTCTACAATAACATTCATACAGGAATAAAATGTTTCAATACAGAAAGAGCAAAAAAACTCACAAACCCGCCGTATTATTCTTTAACTCCTTTATGAGAAAATAATCAGACCAAAGTTGGTTTCATGTGGATTGGCCCAAGAATTACATCAAATTGTGCTAAAAGCAAGACAGTTACCGTAGTTACCAGTAAAGATCTCAACTCATGGTCAGGGGCCATGATTTATAACGATAGGCTTGGAGTGTTGTAATTTCAAATGAATACAGCCTATTAAAGAGAGAAGAACTAGTCTGAGCAATGGGCCCATGACCCTTACATAATGAACGGTCAGGAACACAAATTTTTATCGTTTCGTGAATTACTCCACTTGAGCGTAGCTTAGTATAGTGTTAGTCATACGCCACTCAAAGAACAACCATATCTACCTGAAGAGCCTGAGTTTGAGCCCCCCTGTCCTTGGAGTATACAGTATAAACACTCAAAATGCAAAATTGCGCACACAATAATAAGCAAAATATGCATGGAACCACTGTGTATAACTCCAGCTGTATTTTATTTAGACAATTCTTTATGAACATTTCATCCTATGAGAATACATTTGAATGTTGCATCTGTTCATTTGTTCAGTGCCATTTAGTCTTCATGGACTCATACTACCTCCATCAAGTATTTTTATGACACTCACGTTTATAGTAAGATAAGATAAGAAACCTTTATTAGTCTCACAGTGGAGAAATTTCAGTGTCATTGTTGCGCACATTACAGCAGAGAAAGGAAATAAGAGCACTCAGATTGCACACATCAAAGTCTATTATTTAAGATAATAGATAATAGGCAGTATAGTCAAAATAAACCAGGAAATTCTCAGGTAAGCGCTATTGTGAGTGAAGCTCAACTGTTTAGGTCTGGACAGAGTAATGTGTTAGAAATTAGTCAACTGTGTTAAAACACCTGGATAGTCGGTTTTTATAAATCAGATAAAAGCAATTAGTCAATAGACTGTCGGGCCAAATTCTAATGTGGTCAACAGTTGGGCTGGGAATCATTCAGTCTGGGCTGGGAGACTTTCAATTTGATATGTATCTAAACATTAAACGCTTTTGGCCCCTTATCTAATGCTTTATTGATGCATTTAAGAGTCAGAGGAGAACCAGAGCAACTGCAGGAAACCGACATGGGGAGAACATGCAAACTCCACACAGAAAACCCCCGTCTGAAGGTGGAATCAAACGCTCTGTCAATATAATGTATCTGTCAATGTGATTTTAAAAAATGTGCTTAAAAAAACAGCAGTAAAAAGTTTAGAGTCTTGTGTCCCCTTTAGCATCTGCGCTCAGTACAATGTCTAATGTCTTCCTCAGTTTAAAGGCACTAAAATGTTGCATATGCTAATGTCAGCGTGTGTCATTGGATTACACCGACTCACTGCTGCATAACACCGCGTCCTCCGCTCCTCCTACTCTCAGCGGCTCTCCGGGAAAATGCCTTTAATCCGTCCACACTCGTTTGCAGCAGTTACAGTGGTCACATCGAGTTAAATCGCGGTATATTAAGGCCGAGCCACTCTAATGTGTTGGAGGTTATGGGGGTTTTGGCGCCGTTTTTTGGTGCCACGAGGATTAGGCTAATGGCTCCTGTGGATGAAATGTGACGCAGCTCTAAAGTGTAGTTAATGCTGAGGAGAGAGAGCTTTGCGGGATGCCAGTCTCACTTAGCAAATTAAAGTATTAGTATTATGTACATTTATTATCTGTTTTTTCTCAGTTAAGTTTTTCATTTTTTGAAAGTTGATAGGCGGATTAAGATTTCAAATGTTGGTCTGCAGTAATCCATGACGTTCTTTTGGTATTGTAATCGGTAGGATTACAATACTAGGACTAGATTTTCACTTGATTCATTTTCAAAACAATGTGTATGTTTTTCTTTTAGTATTTTTCATGTTGGGTGAGTACAAATGACTGTTTGACATATCATACAATTTAATTTGGATCATACAGTTTAATTTGGACCCCTGTGAATTACTTATCAATTCTGTTGGGCTACTGGTTTAATGTTTTTGGCAGCTCAGAAAAAAATAAAATAAATACATAATTAAGCTGCACCTTATATGCTGTAGCTTCAAAGTGCGGGGAAAAAAGCTGCATTTTTTTTAGATCCTTCCACACTGATATCATTCACTTCTGGCACAAACATAACTCTGTCCCTTCTGTCTAAACGCTCCTGTCTCTGTCCTGTATTGGTATGATGTCATTTTACCACTATGACATCACGCTCGGAGCAGTTTTCTCTCTTTTCAAAACAAAAGTACTGCACATGAATTCGTTTTGGCAAATTTCTCAGGTGAAATGACTTCCTTTACAATCGCAAGCTTGTGTTTTCCCCATAGACCACACATTAGGAGTGCACTGACCACCAAAGTGTTTGCCGAATGCAGTAATAGCCAATTGTGCAAATGCAAACAACTTGATGCGAACACAGTTGCTAAAGCAAGCAGGAATTTCCCCTGTGAATGAAGGCATATGATTGGCCAATTCTCATGGCTTGTATCTAGATTTATAAAGGCAATATACTGATATAAACGCCAGGATCACTGAGTGGATCACCCTAAAACACAGATTTTATTAGCCTAAAATGGTAAGTGTGACAGAAATAGTCACTGAGCAAGAGGAGTTTACTTTTTAATGTACGTCAACAGAAACAAGAAAGAGTTGGAGAAAAGCGTGGCCCACAGGCATCCGGTTTCATTGAGCTAGGGCGTTGATTTTTGCACATCTCCCTCTGTTGGTAGCATAGGGACTCACACTGAAATATTTTTTTTACCTTTCATTTTTTGTTTCACCATATGTATTCTAAGCATGAAAGTAAGTAATTAAAAAGTCTATATGATTTTTTCCCCCTAGTTGCTTAATTCTTATTCTTCGTCTGTCCAGGTCCTCCCGTCATCATTGTGCCGCCCAAAAGCACCCGGCTCAACATGTCCCAGAATGCCCTGCTCCAGTGCCAGGCCGTGTCCAACCCTCCCAACATGACCTACGTGTGGCAAAAGGGTCAAGAGAACGTCCACCACATCGAGTGAGTGCCCTAACTTTTAACACACCACTCCGCCAAACACCTGGGTCCAACCGTTCCATCTCTGCTCATATTATTTCTTAATCGCAGACTTAAAATACTTTTGGATAGTTGGAGCCAGTTAGAGTCAAACCTGTGTCTTTGAAGTGGGATGGCATCACTGCTCCGACAGCGACTGTTGCATAAGACATACTTACTTTTTCTCCAACCAGGCAACTTCAGAGACAAAACACAGCAGACAAACCGTTAATTCTCCCTTAAACAAGTCAAAAGTAAAAAAGAACATTCCACATTTGCTCTTTTAATGCAGCTTTCTTGCATATGTCATAACATTGACAACGTTTTTTTGCATCAAGTCATTAACTGAGAAATGTACTGACTTTATGAAGAAATAAAATGGGAAAAATGCTCAAAATGACTTCCATCCATATATCCTTTTTCTTCCGCTTTATCTGTTGCCGAGTCATGGGTGCCGCAGTCTGAGCAGATCAACAACAAGTGGGACACAATCGTGAAGTGGAACAAAATTTATTGGATAATTTAAACTTTTTTAACAAATAAAAAACTGAAAAGTGGGGCGTGCAATATTATTCGGCCCCCTTGCGCTAATACTTTGTAGTGCCACCTTTTGCTTCAGTTACAGCTGCAAGTCGCTTGGGGTATGTCTCTATCTGTTTTGCACATCGAGAGACTGGAATTCTTTCCCATTCTTCCTTGCAAAACAGCTCGAGCTCAGTGAGGTTGGATGGAGAGCGTTTGTGAACAGCAGTCTTCAGCTCTTTCCACAGATCCTCGATTGGATTCAGGTCTGGACTTTGACTTGGCCATTCTAACACCTGGATACGTCTATTTGTGAACCATTCCATTGTAGATTTGGCTTTATGTTTTGGATCATTGTCCTGTTGGAAGATAAATCTCTGTCCCAGTCTCAGGTCTTTTGCAAACTCCAACAGGTTTTCTTCCAGAATGGTCCTGTATTTGGCTCCATCCATCTTCCCATCAATTTTAGCCATCTTCCCTGTCCCTGCTGAAGAAAAGCAGGCCCAAACCATGATGCTGCCACCACCATGTTTGACAGTGGGGATGGTGTGTTCAGGGTGATGAGCTGTGTTGCTTTTACGCCAAACATATCGTTTTGCATTGTGGCCAAAAAGTTCGATTTTGGTTTCATCTGACCAGAGCACCTTCTTCCACATGTTTGGTGTGTCTCCCAGGTGGCTTGCGGCAAACTTTAAACGAGACTTTTTATGGATATCTTTGAGAAATGGCTTTCTTCTTGCCACTCTTCCATAAAGGCCAGATTTGTGCAGTGCACGACTGATTGTTGTCCTATGGACAGACTCTCCCACCTCAGCTGTAGTTATCTGCAGTTCATCCTGAGTGATCATGGGCCTCTTGGCTGCATCTCTGATCAGTCTTCTCCTTGTTTGAGATGAAAGTTTGGAGGGACGGCCGGGTCTTGGTAGATTTGCAGTGGTCTGATACTCCTTCCATTTCAATATAATTGCTTGCACAGTGCTCCTTGAGATGTTTAAAGTTTGGGAAATCTTTTTGTATCCAAATCCGGCTTTAAACTTCTCCAGAACAGTATCTCGGACCTGCCTGGTGTGTTCCTTTGTCTTCATGGTTCTCTCTGCGCTTTAAACAGAACCCTGAGACTATCAAAGAGCAGGTGCATTTATACGGAGACTTGATTACACACAGGTGCATTCTATTTATCATCATCAGTCATTTAGGACAACATTGGATCATTCCAAAGATCCTCACTGAACTTCTGGAGTGAGTTTGCTGCACTGAAAGTAAAGGGGCCGAATAATATTGCACGCCCCACTTTTCAGTTTTTTATTTGTTAAAAAAGTTTAAATTATCCAATAAATGTTGTTCCACTTCACGATTGTGTCCCACTTGTTGTTGATTAGGGGCGATACTTTCTCCCGCGATTCAATTATTGATACGCATTTGCCAAGTATCGATATCGATTTTGAAAAAAAAAAATTATATATATATATTTTTTGAATTGGTATCAATACTTAATATATGGGTACATTACGCATCTCCATTCTATTTATCCTGAAATAAAGAGTAATTTTTCTATTATTTATGCCATAAATTGGCATATTGTATATTTCTGACCAATATATCAATAATCGTCATATCGCGATAAAATCGTTCTCGTGATATCGTTATCGTGATATTATCATTATTGTGATATTATCGTTATCGTGAGCTTTGTATCGTGTATCGTATCGTATCGTTAGGTACCCTTAGGTTCCCACCCCTATTGTTGATTCATGACATTGAATTGAACATTGAACACGCTCATTTTTTCGTGAACTTTGAACTGAACGCAACACATTTTTAAAAAAAGAACTTGAACGTGAATTAGTTCATTTTATGTGTCATGAACGGCAGACATCACTATGAATGTTGGAATCTGTTTTCTCTTTTGAAACGCAACGAGAGAAAGTTCCTCCCTCCTGTATTCTCGCACTTTTTCCGCCGAAATCTAAAACTTCCTACGGTTTCCACCGTCTGTGAACGCACCCCGACTCTGTGAGCTGGTGCTTTTCACATGTGCCCGAGTCGTGATGAAAACACAGGGTGAGTTAGCGACAATGTTTACACCGTTTACATTTGACATAAAGTATAGACACACGCACTACAGCACATTACTGTCTGTAGTTTATGAGCAGAGATGGAGCAACTCCGTAATGCTCCCATTGAAAACCATATAAATCTGGTCTGTTTTGTATGAGATATGAGATATATATATATATATATAGCTCGTAGTGTGAAAAAAATATGTATTTATCTCACAAAAAAAGTAAAATGAACTGAACTTTGAACTAGTTCAGAATTAAAAATGTGAACTTTGAACGTGTTCTGTTCACTTTGAGCATGTATGAACTGAACTTGAACTAGTTTAGAAAAGCTGTGAACTGGCACAACACTGCATAGGAGGAGGGGGGGGGGGGGGCATGAAGTGGGAGATGGGGGGAGGGGTTAATAAAAAAGGCAATACAAGCAAACAGTATACAGTCATAGATATACCGAAAGTAAACAGAGAAACAGCATAGAGTATTTACATGAACAAATTTACAAAATATTTACAGATTGTTTATCATCATCATAATGACACCATGATGTTTCTATACAGTCTATGGTCTATACCCACACATACACACACACACACACACACACACCCACACAAATGTGTGACTAATTTGCGATTAATCGCTAGTTAACTATGAAATTCATGCGATTAATCGCGATTAAATATTTTAATCGTTGGACAGCACTGATCTTTATGTTTGAAGCCTGAAATGTGGCGAAATGTTGAAAGGTTCAAGGGGGGCGAATACTTTCGCAAGGCACTGTATCTATCCACACACACTTCCTCCAGCTCATCCGGGGGAACCTCGAGGCATTCCTAGGCCAGCTGAGAGACCCAGTCCCTTGAATGTATCTTGGGTCCTCTTCAGGTCTCCTCCCAGTCGCTAATTGCCTATTTTAAGTATTTGGTCTTGAAATAATATACGCCCATTACATAATAATTTATCTTATTTTATGTAAGTTAACCCTCCAAGGTCTAGAGTCATTTTGGGGAACTTTCCTCGCCTGGTTTTTTGTGTGTAAAATTGCTCATAAAACAGTCATCTTTGATGCAGAGTCAAGCAGTATACTTGTTTTTTTTCAGTACAACCTGGGGTTTTAGAATATTCCTATTTTGGAGCTGTCATATATAAATTATATAATGATTATGGAATCATGAAGACAAAGAAAAAAATGAAACGGAAAATCAATTTCACAAAATTGTATTGAAAAAACACAATGAAATGCTATAAACAACTTTTTAATAATGGGGAAAAATATTGAACCAATGACTATTATAATTTTTACAAAATTCCACTATAAAAGCCAAAAACGCTGTACTCCTGATGCCCTTCCTCAAGCAGTTTGTCTATGAGGCTGTGGTTGCTTCTGTATCACAGCTGTAAAATACGTAAAACAAAACAAACTAAGACAAAAAAATGAATAAAACATCTAATTTATATATACAAATACATTATATACACATAATATCATTTTTCTGTATTTATTATTGTCTATTCTCAATAATGTGCAGTCCTGGCTCCTCTGAGCGCTGCTGCCTATGCAGCAACAAGTACACACAGAGGAGTGAGAGATCCTACTCTCTGACGATCTTTGTGCGAGTCCCCGTTTGAGTAAACAACTTTACAATTGTCTGTGTGAAGCTCAAGGGCACCGCTCGAAGATCCAATTGGGGGACTGACTTTCATACACACGTAATTTATCTCCCGTGCATCGCACAGGCAAACGGAAAGGCTGGAATGTGTGCTTCACGGAGAAAAAAAAGTAAGTTGCTAGCTTTTACGGTTCGCGAGTAAATTGATCACTTGTAAAACATGTGCGCAACCATCGTCGGCGATGGCATCGTTTCGATCTGGAACATTGGAATACCTCCCTTTCCGTTTCATAAAGGGAGGTATTCTGTCACTTCCAGAAGGGTCATTTTTATGTAACATTCTTTGAACAAATCACACCACAACGTGCTGACTCTTATTAGAAAACTAAGATACTGAGAGCTGATTGGTTGAGTGAGGGCCGGTTCTCTCTCTTTCACTGAAAAAAACTGATCTAAAAAAGTGATTGGAGCCAAAAATACATGCATGTAAAAACTAGTGTCTGACCATTTTATTCCATTTTCATATAGAGATATTGTTTTGTGGCTTAGTTATTCCAGCTTCAATCATTTGTTTTATTTGTTCTCTTGCAAATCCACTATTTCACACTGGCTCTCTCTCAGAAACAACAAACACAAGATTTGAGAGAAAGAGTATCCTTAATATTCTTTTCAAAGCACTGGAAGCATTCAGTTTTGTTCAGTCGTGTTTAATATTTCAACTTTTGTAACTGGCAGCATTCCATTCTGTTATGAAACTCTGTGAAACTCTTCATTCAGTGAATAACCAGGGCACAAC